GTTGAGGATGAGGGTCCAAGGACGAAAACTAAAACGGTAGTGTGCCAGGAGCCTGACAACTATCTTTTCTATACTGGGTTCACCGTTGGCCCCCGCGCAATCCGCGAGATTGGTGTGCGTGCCGCTAGGAGATTCTTAGACCAAATAGAAATTAATTCGGGATGGCGAGAAAAGGCAAGGATGCACAAGGACGGTGGGCGAGAGCACTCGGAATACTCGAAGACGACGAAGTCTCCGGCGCAGTGACTGAATGCATATTCTCGTCGAGAGACATAAGGTGGAATATACTGATTTTTTTTTAATTTGATCATTTTCGAAGAGCTATTTCGACAACTATGTATGGCATACATTCTCCAACGAAGCCGCGAGCTTTCACGTGGTGATGCCCTTAGAACACCACGTTTCCTGCCTTTCCCAGATTCTCGATGGAATAGTTAATAGAATTATCGAGTCTTTAGTGTTCAAAATTAATTTTGACCAGATCTATTTATTTGGCGGCTCTGTGGCCCCGACGGCTCACTCGATTAGGATGCGACTAAGCAGCAGAGGATATGCCCCGGCTTTTCAAAGCCAAGAAGGTTTCCTTAGAAATCTATACTTGTATTGTAGTTTCTTCAATATATAACAATAAATTCCAGTTCGTTTATAGTAGTTTCCTTAACTGGACTCAGATCTACACATGCTGATGCTTACACACCGTAGGTAGGTACTTGGTAGGTACTAACTGCCTCATTCCGAGTGAAACCTTAACTGGGCTAAAACGTCTCCTTTCCCTATCGTGCTTGCATATTGAGACCTCTCGGAAATCTATCGGGGAATATATAGAGTTGGCATATTCGGAAGAAAGAAGACAGGGAAGCGCCGCTCATCCAGTTGATCAGGGCACGAGTTCCAGATGAACAGCTCGGCCTTTCCTCCCATCGACCTACCTTTCCTTACCCAGGTGCTGTAAGGTCGTACCGTCGCTCTCTTCAACACAGTCTTAATCCACTTGTCTAATTCTAAGTCCTTTTAATCCGGTAACCAATCCATCCAAGGACCCCGGAACAACAAATCTTCTCATTATTACGCCTTCAACCCGCACTCTTCTCAAGTTCTATTATCTGGCTCATAGAAATCTCATCGTCCATTAATAGTCCTCACAGTGTTAATCAAGGAATCGACAGCTCTTCGTTAGGCAATAGGGTTCGAATAATTCGAATTTATATTCCTACCATGGTAAATATGGATTTCAAATGCTCCTGGAGGGTTCGCTGGTACAATATACCCGTCCCACAATTTCGGCGGCGATACGCCAGAGGCTACGATGATATCTACATAAACGTAGCCTTGACCGGCATGTGGACGTTGTATAACGGGGCGGGCGCCTCGGTACTATTGATGAAGGTAGCTGAGGGCTAGGAGCCGACTCATACGAAGGACGGTCGTCCGTGCCGAAGGGTGGAACTACCGGATGTATGGCACTTGCCAGGCGTGTTCTGTGCCGATGATGATCCCAGCGTCCTGCACAGGGCCCAGGCCGAGGTCTTCGCTCATACGTACGCCCATACCCGGATTTCAGACGTCGTCTGGGTTGTCCTCCCGAGCTAACTGGTTAGTAGGGGCTTGCACATCCGAAAGTTCACCAAGGTGATCGGCCGCGAAACCCTCATAATCGACAACGCAGAGGGAGAGGAAAGGAAGGTTCTTGTTATGACGGTTGCGGCCGACTACACAGACCCCGTCAACCTGTCGATGAACAGATATAGCGCGTACACCTAGGCGACGGTGATGGACATGGAAGAAGAGGGTTTCCAAGTGAGAACAACTTCGTTGCGTCGGAGGCTCAAGAGATTTTTGAAAAGCACCACATTCCTCTACCAAATATCATGGATCGGGTTTATTTGAGGACGTCATGAGGTCAACAGCAGTCCTATAGTCTAACAGCGATTTGGGGTGGATGTTTTGCATTTTGCGTTATCAGCGTTTTCGTGTATGATGTCTAGGAGTGGTCAATTGGAACGACTGAGCGAACCGGAGAGGAACCGTACAATTCCTACATATGTAGGTGCATCGAACCTTGTAGCGGTCTGGCTACCTACTCATTGATACCTTAGGTTAGGGTAGGGTAAGGCAATCCTACATAATCAAAACACCTTGTGCTAGATAAACTGAAATTAATATTCTTTCATTGTGTGAGTGTAAATAAACACAAGACGGGTACCTAATCCAATTGATAAGTCGCACGCTGCGGGACCGGCCCCTGCTGCATAGCCTGACGTGCAGTGCACACAGTACAAAGCGACTACCTACCTTAGGTACCTAGTAACAACAGATACTGACCGCCTTAATCACTGGTCCACCAAACTGGCGCCTTGAGGTTCATTCAATATACAAACGCCATTTACCTAGGTATTCATTCAGTCCACCTCCATCTTCTATCCGCCATCCTACATTCACCATCCTCTCTATCGACTAGAGTTTCTATTTTTTGCGTAAGAGCTGTCTTGCCTGTATTGACGACTACCTACACAAGTAGGCTCTGCTCTTACATGTTACATCGTACACAGCCCCACGCCTAGGTAGCTGCACGGTCGCCCCCAGAGCAAAGCTAGTCCAAGCTGTATGGCTTGCCTCTTCAACCCCTCTTGACTTACTCCCAATCAACCACCTCTAGCCTTCCTTCCTAGAAAGGTGGCTTCGCGCGATGTCAACCATGCTCACGGACAGAGAAATCGAAGATGCTGCTAAGAAACTAGCTGAGTTCCGCGCAAAGAGTGCCGAGGAGGACTTTCTGCAGCGCTATGCCGATCTCCTCACTAGCTACCAGCAATTGAAGAGTGACTTCGAGGAGGAAAAACTTACCAGAGAACGCTATAAACAGCTTGCCCGTAATCAAGAACGGAATCCCTTCGTGTTGGTCCTCGTCGATGGAGACGGATATATATTTAAAGATGAGTTCCTGCACAAGGGCGCCGACGGTGGCTCCTCAGCTGCCCAACACTTGTACAAGGTAGTGAAGACCAGCCTGCGAGGCAAGGGTTTAGATAACTGTGATGTTATGATTCGCGTGTATGCGAACTTAGCTAATCTATCCCGGGTGCTTTCAAAAAATGGTCTTGCTACCGCCGATAAGCGCTCCCTCGCTCCTTTTGTGGCCAACTTCAATAGATCCTACGGGCTTATCGACTTTGTTGACGCCGGCGAGCTCAAAGAAAATGCCGATTTCAAGATACGTGCTCTTTTGGGCTTATACGCCGAGAATGCCCAGTGCAAGCATATCTATTTCGCGGCCTGCCATGACGTGGGCTATCTCTCCGAGTTGACCAGGTTTCGGGGGGACCGGAACAGAATTACGCTTATACGATCGTCCGGCCTCCTTTTTCACACCCAATTTCTCAAGTTAGACTTGGGTGTTGAGGAACTCCCTGGCGTTTTCCGAACAGTACCCCTTGAAGCGGCTACCCCTACCCCGTACACAAAGTCTAATTCAAACACCGAACTGAAGAGCCCCCCTCCGGCCGGCCCTTCTGCTACTAGCAATACAACCTATTCAGGAATGGGTTCATGGGAATCACAGAAAATATGCCAATTCTACCAGTCTGGCAAGTGTCGATTCGGAGGAGATTGCAAGAATGCCCATGTAGATGCCAGAGCATCTAAATCCTTTTCCTACCAGACCGGTAATTATGGTAGTTATGACAACGAAATTACAAGTGGTCCCGGCCGTGTAAAATCTTCGACCGCCGCTTCACTCTATGAACTAGACAGCGTATCGCCAGGCGGGATGTCGGCAAAAAGCGATCCTGCAAATCAACTACCGAAAAAGAGCGATATACCGGACGGCCATGTAGCCGTAAACAGGAACTTACAGCGACTAGACGCATACATGGTACCCCCTACTTCCGCACAAGCCGCTAAACTCAGGGAACTGTCTAGCGTCACAAAGTTCTGTAACAGCAAACAACTCACGAATTCATGCCCTAACGAGAATTGCGAATATGAACACAACCCACTGCCAGACGAATTACTCCCCGCGCTAGAGTGGCTGTCGCGTTCGTTGCCATGTACGAAGCGAGGAAATTGTAAGGCCTCATCTTGTGTTCTTGGCCATATTTGCCAGAACGTGGAGTGCCAATACCGCGGCGGCAAGATCAAATGCAAGTTGCCAATAAACGCACACACTGATCTCACTGTGAACCACTACATCCCCGATCCAAATTACGTTGAGTCAACAACCAACATGAGCAATGCGACAAACAGTCCTACTACAGCCACATCCCAGTTGAGCAGCCATTCGAATCAGACTCCCGGTGTTGACACTTTGGAGGGTTTCTAGTTCAATACAGACGCGAAATGTGGAAGTGACCTCTAAGTAGGTGGGAAATAAGACGAGAAAGGTCAATGACCAACAAATCTCTACGACTCTCCCCGGTCCTTTTGGTTCGTGGTTTGCCGTAGGTTTTGGCTATTGCACTCATACTAAGCGATGAAGATATAATGTCTTCCCTTACCGCAGTGGTATGCACTGGCACGTCGACGAATTTAATATATTCGCCTCATCAAGCATACCCAGAATCTCAACCTCCCCAACGGAGGAAATATCCAAATAAATATCTAAGAAATGAGCAATCTTACGAACCAGCTTCATAAAGTCTGAAGTTGGTAAGGAGAAAAAAAGAGGAGAGGAATGTTTGAAGCAAGCATCGGAGGCTTTAAACAATATCTGCTGTTATAACAATCAATATAAAGGAGTGTGCACCATAATTGTCTGGTTTCATCTGTGACTGTGACTTTTGACAGAAATCTCGTGAATCTATGTGGTGAACATGATTGTCAATGCACCCAACTATCTATTCTAGTATCATGTAGGTCCTGTATGCGTACGACGTATAATTCCGTACTCGAGTAGAAAGGACGTGCATTTGTGAGTGCTCTCTACTCACGATCTCAGTTCTTGGCGAACAAGCTTACTGAAACTATGTGAAGCCATTTGACGGGATGGACCAATATCGTTGACCGGCCTCGTGGCCCAATGGCAAGGCGTCTGACTACGACAAAGATCCAATAAATGGATCTAATGCGATAATCAGGAGATTCTGGGTTCGACCCCCAGCGAGGTCAACTCGTTCATCTTTCTTTTTTTCTATATATACATACATCCATCCGTACACACATTTATGTTCATTCTTTTTCGACGTCAATAATCCTTTTGGCACAGGCTATCTATCAATCTATTAGTCAGTCTTACGATTCCTTTTTAACCTAAACCAAATCGCGTTGTCGAGGTTAATCAGGTTAGGCGGCTAGCTACCGCCCGATCCCCTTACCAGTCTTCCACCATGACTCAGTGTAAGCATCTACCTACCTATCCTATCACATTAAAGAGCAAGCTTAGCTATTCCAAGTCGAAACATGTCCAGGGATTCAAAGTAGCCTTAGGCTAATTTATATATATGCTAGCAAATCTACTTTCGATCACTTGATCAGGCTTCTTCTACTCGATCAAACCAGATGAGCCCATCAACGTTAAGCTCCAGTTCTAATCCTATCTTGATAGCCTTGTCGTTCTCGAACCTAAATTCCGCGCGCAGCAGTTCATCGCCTCCTAACTGGTAACCACTCCAATGAGCAAGGTATTCCGTCTGGTTGCGGACATGGTCAAAAAGTAACGTGTAACCCATCGAGCGATCGGTGGCGTCGATGAAGAGCTTATTGTCTTTGATGGCCACGGTCATTCCACGATACCCCAGGTTCCAGTACTTACCCGTGTACGCGCTAAGCGGCATTTTCTGCGGCTCGCTCTCCTCGCTCAGGACTCGTCGCATCTCCTTCTGCTCTGGGTCGTTCTCGAATTGTTTCTCTTCATCGTACACTACTTTCTCCCAGTCCGGTCGCTCTGATGCCGGGACCCCCAGGACTTCGTCAATCAGCTCTCGAGCTAGAATCGTAGCTATCTCCCCTGCGTCGCCCCCGTTCCCGAAGATAGCACCGCCGAGCTTGAATTCGGGGACAAAGAAGTGCCTGCTGCCAAAACCCGCCACGCCGCCGTCGTGGCCAATGACTAAGTAGCCACGATAGTAGAATAACTCTAGGCCGGCAGCGTACGCTACCAATGAAGTCATCGGTTCCCGGTCTTCGGGGTCGGTAGATGAGAGACATCGCATTCTAGTAAGCCCCTTGTAGACCTCGTCGTCAATGGGGTGTTCACGATTCATCATCGCCTTCACCCATTTGATGTAGTCGTTCACGCTCGACATGATGGAGCCAGCCCCCTCGCTTTCGGGGGCATCCAGAGGCTCGAAGCCAATGTAACGTTCTTCCTCCTTTCTCCATACGTGCCCTCTGGCGATCCTGTCGCCAAGACCATTGGATATAGCACGCTTCGGGTGCAGGTGGGATGAAGACATCCCCAGAGGTCCAAAGAAGTGCTCTTGCAGGAAATCGCCGAAGGGAAGACCACTCTTTTTCTCGACGAGGTATGCCACAACCGTATACATCATGTTGTTATACATATGTTTGGTGCGCAGCGGTGCAGAAACAGATAGGTTGCGCAAGTTTCTCATGACTGATAGACCGTCATCTGTTTTCTCTGCCCGTGGGCCCAGATAGGAGTCGTCATGACTATATGTGTCAGCGATACTCCTCCGTAGTCTAATCTATGCATGCCTGCATCTACTCACCGTGGCATACCCGTCTGATGGCCAAGGAGATCGTCAATAGTAACGCCCTCGGTATATCCCTGGCCCGGCATGACGAAATCTCCAGGTAAGAGACTCGACACGACTGCGTCGTACTGCACCTCGGGATATTTGTCGTTGTCACGGACTAGTAGCGCAATCGACGCAGCGGTCATAGACTTCGACGAGGACGCAATATCGAAAACAGTGTCTGCGGTACACGGCTTCGGCGGATCGACCGACGCCAGCCCGAATCCCGCAGAGAATGTGCGATCACCTTCCACGATCGCGATAGCTACGCCAGGCACATGATACTTGTTTTTGAGTTCCTCCACGCGGGCGGAGAACTTGGGAGAGTTGAGATAATCCATTGTCTGGTGATTGATCGTGCGGACTTCCTTTTGAATCTTGAATGATTAAAGTGCCTCAAAGTATGTATAGTTCGTCGTCGCTGAAAGCGCTTGTTGACCGTGTAGTCGTTGGGTAATCTTGAGCGCGTAGTTGTGAATTTATAGCAATTAGGTTGTCTCATAAAGCCTCCTCAGATAGTATTCGTGTTCATCAACATCTCCAATACGTGAGTCATCGGCGTCGACGACGACGCCGCGTGTCAGATTGAATAACAAACTACGTCAGTCGCGACATGACCGCATCGCAGACTTGTATAATTAAGTGGCCAATGGTAAAACAGGCCGCGTGGTGGAAGAACTGCGCGGTCTGAGACAGTGATGACTGCTAGCTAGTGTTAGTTGGACCTGCAGGATGTTTGATACATTGGGCATCGTCTATTGAACGAAATACTGATTGAGAATAGATACGGCGTATTCATGTTCAAGCCCAAACCGACTGAGAGAAGGGCTTCTTCGGCCACCTTCTACATACAGACGCGCGGGTGAAGTCTTGACAGCTATTTTCTTGATGATACTAGTCTAACATTGCGAAGGGCAGACGGCAAACAGTTACTCCCGACACCTCGAACTTCGCCAAGGTAGGCAGCTATTTTTCTTACCATAGTAATACTCATAAATCAGGTCAATTGAATAACTTCATTCGTACAACAATGCCTTGGCCGTTGTTTTGTCTCCAGAGCATGACACGCTAACTATGAATCAGAATGATGGACACCGCTTCTACGGCAGTCCTACAGGAGGCTATGCAAAGTGATGTTGAGTCTAGCTTGAAGAGGGACTTGGTGATGGATAGCAACCCCACTGAATCTAATCTAAGTCTGTTCTGGTGTCTTCTAGAAAGAGTCAAACAGTCGATAATCAGGAGACGGACTCTTACGTGAGATTATGTTCTCGTTCACAAGAAAGGGACACTCTATCCTAGTTCCTAATTTATAGCAACTCACCCAAGAGAGTATTGTTGAACACTAAATCGTACTACGTATCGTATCAAGAGCAATGTCGAATTGGACACCCCCCCTTAAAAAAAGCTTTCGCATCTTCAAACAAGAAAAAACGTAATCTTAGACGAAATAGGTAGTTTATATATTCTATACTCCGTGTTAGTCTTAGAGATCCCGATTTCTCTCAAGGATAGTAAAGTACCCTCGAAAAACCCGATGAACAAGTAGAATTAAGCTAGCCCTACAGCTGAAGATATTTAGGGTATTTATACTCGTTCACATCACTACATACAGCTGCAAGATATTGAAATATGAAACTATTAGTTCAAATTTAAATACATCATAAGGCAGAAACATTAGGCATGCGCGATACTGAACCTCTATACAGATTTACACTAACTTCGTGCTAAGACTAATCATGGAAATTGGGGTTCTCGGAGGGCTGTACACCGAGAGCATGCGTCAAGGAGCTATTCTGAAGAACCAAACCCCCAATAGTGAAGGAAATCCCAGGGCGAATTTACTATACTGCTGTATAACACGGTATTCAGTTGAAGCTATTGCTGGAATCTCCTCCTTTTCCCCGCTGAGAACCCCGCAACCCCGCACTATCAAGGGTTTTCTCTTCCAGCCCTAAATTAAGGAGCAGGTACGGTGTTACTTTGTCATACCGTCTTAACAATGAAATTATTAGTGAAATACAATAAAAGGATATTGATTTCCTAGTTAGGATGTTATGCATATATTTCTCTGGTATAGGCCACAGGTTTCCTAGACGGTCTCCTTAGTATTTTTTTTCTAATGCTTAAGTACCTAAGGGACCCGTTTACGCTGCTAAACAATCGCTAGCAGTACCGTACGGTTAGACGCTTCTAGCGCTATTGTTCAGTGCGATAATAGCGCTAAACCCGCTAAAAGTAAGTCGCTAGACTCACTACTTGGGTAAATAACCCACCTTAGGTACTTAGATCTATTTTATCAAGTGTATTTATCCCCCATTACTTCCATCGCGACGTGTTGTTCCCGCCATAGAAGTTAAGTAAGTACCCAAGATGCATGGTTTAGGGGTTGGTGACTACCTCTGTGCATATATATTGGATGGAAGGCGGGATTGATCTTCCTTGGATACCTATTTTAGCAAATAAGACCTGTTGTATGATTGTTCCACGACTACCCCTCTTTCATTGTTGACATCTCCGTACGTTCTCTCGAGTTTAAAGCACACCCTGTAGTTTACAAACTCCCCTCAGATCGATCACGACACTTAGATATACTAACCAAGATTGCTGCGTGTCGTTTGTGAGTAACTGGGCAATGCATGAGGATGGCTCGCTCACGGCATGATTTGAGTCGAGGATGGCAGTTCCGAGAGGACAACGGGAGCTCATCGAACGAGAATCCATGGCTCCCAGTGCAGACTGTCCCAACTCAGGTTCATATGGATCTGTTAGCCAACAAGAAGTATGTTAATGAATAAGCGTCCTACTCCATTGCTTAATAGCATAGCAATTTATAGTCGTGATTCCATTACTTACTTACACCTTGTACAGGATATCAGACCCCTTCCTGGACCTCAACGAGTTAGACGTTCGATCGCTTGCCGAAAAGCGATGGACGTACAGAACACAATTCACCAAGCCTGCGGAGCTGTCACCGGAGGCATCGTCTATGGTCGACTTAGTATTTGAAGGCCTTGACACTTTTGCCACAGTTTTGTTGAATGGTGCCGAGATCTTGAAGTCCGATAACATGTTCATTTCTCATCGCATTGATGTGACCAGCCAATTAAGGGATATGAACGAGCTAGAAATTCATTTCGACTCTGCGATGCTTCGTGGAAGAGATCTAGTTGAAGAACATTCCCACGAACATACATTCTACGTAAGACAGACAGAAGTTAGCCGTGTGCCTGTACGGAAGGCCCAGTGTAAGTGGTTTTTAAGCTACCCATACACTCCTCATAGATTTCAAGTCCCTTTACTCACTAGGCTTGCTCGCACAATTTCCCTAAGTTAACTAACTCTTCGCGATTCAAGATCACTGGGGCTGGGATTGGGGTCCCATATTGATAACGGCCGGGCCTTGGAAACCCG